AATGTCATTTTACAAATTATAGCTGTATCTGATGGTATCGCCTCCTACCATCGCTGCGTGTACCTCCTGCTCCTTGCAGAAAGTTGTCCTGTTCCTCTGTCAGTTAGTCAGGCTGTAAGAATTTTATTACTTTTAATCTATCTTAATTTCTCCCAGTCCTTTGAGCCAATTAATCACTTTAACTGCAGAATGTAAGGCTCTGTGGTGGGTAGAGGGAGAATTGATTACAGCTCAAAGGAGAGGTGTTCCCAGTTTCTGCAGCATGATAAGTGATTTCTGCATAGTAATGCCAAGGGAAAAAGAAATGTGATCTCACAGATATTTTGTGTGCTTCAACTATTTCATACTATCACAGTAAACTAGCAGTTCATGGATCTGTCCTGCTTTCAGACCTCCCAGCATCCATCGTGTTTTATATCGCTGAGAGTGCTGCAAGATTATGACTGCCCACGGAGGGGTCAGTTCGTGCCTCCAGTGACTTTTCTAGCTCATTTTTCCCCTTTTTTTTCAGTGTCTGCGGTGTTGGAAAATGAGAGTATCCAAGGGCTTTCTGGTGTCAAACCGATGGGCTACAGAAATCGCTCCTCCAGCATGGCAGATGGTGACAGCTCCTACAGCTTAGACGCACTCATTCGCCAGCTGAACACCTTCCACAGCATCATGTGTGACCAGGGCCTGGACCCAGAGATCGTGCAGCAGGTCTTCAAGCAGCTCTTCTACATGATCAACGCGGTTGCTCTCAACAACCTCCTGCTGAGGAAGGACGTCTGCTCGTGGAGCACGGGCATGCAGCTGAGGTGGGACAGGGGCTCGGGGCAGGGATGTGCCTGCTTGAATAAGTTTAGTTAATTTTATAAGGTGGTGGAAAATAGGAAAATAAAATGCAATGGTGTAAGTAAGGGGAGAAACTGATTGGATTCAGCTGGAGACCAATGCAGTGCAGTTAAAGCTAAGCCTTGTAGAGTAATGCCCGTGCAATGCAGTTTGCTGTGCTGCTTGTGAATTAAATGCATGTTACAGTAATTATCTCTGGGGTGGGCTTTCCCCACCCTTGCCTCACCCAGCCTGAGCGGGAAGGCTGTGCAGCCCAAAGACTGCACCAGGTGCTGTAGGATGGATTGCCCATTGGGATGGAGAAGTTTCCGTGGTTCTGTCCTGCTGCCGCGTCTGCTGGTTTTAATGTTACCGGTGTTGTTAACTCCGATTCTGCGGGTGGATCTTAAAGCCGAACCCCTGTTGTTGTGTGAAATGCCTCTGGCCTCTCATGAGCTACAGGCAAGCGGCAGCACGGACATCTGCTGGGCTGGGATCAGGGGCCCGCATGCCCCATCACTGTCTTAGTGTGATGCTATAATCAGGATTGAAATTTGAAAGGACAGCTAGTGCAAACCTGCCAGAAAGGGGTCATGAATATTTATCAGCCCGGGCATAAATCTGTCAGCTTGCTTCTCGGTGTAAATGATTTAAACCTTTGTTTTGCTACCCTCTCCCCTTCCCAGAGTGGATCCTTTGCATGTTCCCCTTGAGCCTGGGAGTGGGCACAGGCAGAGGCATTTTTTATGTAGATATGTTCAAAGGTACAATTTTGTTGGCATTTAAAAGCTTAATTTTAATGGACTTTTGAAACTTGAACAAATTTGAATGTTGTAGAAAAGCACATCCCTTGCACTGTTCAGCTGTTACATGGCTTATCTATTTCTAAAGTACATGGAGTATAAATTTTGCTTTGAGTTGTTGAGTATTAAGCTTTGGTCTGGTTGTCTCCTGCCATGTGTATCACAAATATGCATCACAAACATGACATATACCAGCACTGCAACATACTTTGAGTCTCATAGAGGATTTTTGAGATGCTACATCTTATCTCCCGGCTCTCATCTTATCTTGGTTGCTTTCCTAGGTTTAACATAAACCAGCTGGAGGAATGGCTGCGTGGGAAGAACCTGCAGCAGAGTGGAGCAGCACAAACATTGGAGCCCTTGATTCAGGCGGCACAGCTTCTACAGCTGAAAAAGAAAACCTCAGAAGATGCCGAGGCCATCTGCTCCTTGTGCACGTCACTCACGACGCAGCAGGTAAGGAACAGGGCAGAGATTTACATCAGAGGTCCTGGTAATTAAAGGAGTGGGAAAGGCTTGTCTCCCAGTGCCAGATCCTCACTGCCCAGGGTCAGTGTGCCATTCCCATGGCGGGGACAACTTGTCCTTTTCAAGACTGGCGTTTGGTATTGACCTCTGTCAGAGGTGGTCATCGCAGTGGCTCCTCTCTTACGGCACTGCTGATGGTGCTGGAGCTCCAGCAGAAATGTTCAAAGATGAAACCCAGCCCCGAGGAGTTTATGCCATAAGTCAGACACTCAGGATTTTAAACCCACCTGTTGTGTTTTGCCATGGTCTAACCTGGCTAGGTCTGCAGGATGCCCACCAAGGATTCATATTTGGGGCAGGAAGTTGAGAACTGCCCACCTAGGCTGGCTGGATCTGACCTTAAATTTGAGAATCCATTTCAGAAGGATACAAACTCAAGTTTTTTGCTGCTGGTCTTAATTGTCTGGCCTTAATTTGATAATGTCGTAGGAAGGGAGAAGTGAGAGATGTGAGCTGATCTCCAGTGGTTCTTGGAGATCCTTTCTCCTGTATCTCCATCTCCCTGTCTTGAACGTGTGTTCTTAAGAGAAGCCAAGGGATGGCAGGAGAGGAACACAAGTGAGGGAGCATCAGGAGAAGTGTTGTAGAGATGATGTCAGAAGTACTGGGAAGTGTGGTCACCCATGTTACTGTGTACCAGCTGAGCGGGGTCCTGGTATAAATCTGTTGCTCGAGTCCATTCCCAATTTACAAATGTTGCAATAAGAAGTGACTTTGACAGGTCCATGGAGGCTTACCATAGCTTACAGCGGGCAAAGGAACACCAGGATAACACCTGTGTTACTTCTGCTTCTCAGCAGTGTCACGGGAGACTTGTTATGGCCATATCAAGACAAACTGTTAATGATGCTTTGTATTCTGGAAAAGTTTGGCATCTCATGACTGTCCGTAATTCTATTTTGGTTTTGACAGATTGTAAAGATACTTAATCTCTACACTCCTGTGAATGAGTTTGAAGAACGCGTGACAGTAGCTTTCATACGAGACATACAGGTAAGTGAAAGGGCTGTAAATTGGAGGTGATAGTACTAATGACATCTGTATTAAATCATTACTAACTCAGGCATTTTGTAATAGGCATGCTGCTGCATGTTGTCCTGAATTTAGTGCTCTGCATGCACACTCGCTTACTTGCAACATACAGCTGGAGGGATAGCCAGGCTGTTAATCGCAAAGAGCAATAAGCACCGAAGTTCCCAGCTCAGCTAATCAGCTCTTTAGTAGCAATGCAACTCAGAAGTAAGGTTGCAGGAGTCAGTGAAGCATTAGTGAAATGCAGTTACTTCTGAGATACAAGGCAGAAACTGGCAACTAAAGAAAATTAAATACATGAAAACCAAGCATCTTTTAATGCTCGCAAGGAGGAGGCAAGAAGTGGAAACAGAAGCATGTTCAACTACTAGAATATGTCTCCATCACTGAGCAGCTGAATCGAAAGTGGTCTGCTGGTATCATGCAGTGCTGCTTTTGCAGTGTAAGGGGGTCATGTTGTTTCCAAGTCCTGTATCTTGCTTTGTGGTCATGTAGAAAATGTAGCCAGGTTCTTTTGAAGCAGTGTTTCCTACAGTCTGTGTAGAAGTTCCTGTAAATATTTGCTCAGGGGAAGGCTGCTGCAATAGAGAACAAAATAGTTCTCACTGGTTTTTAGCAGTATCTCTAAAATTGTGTACATTCTCAAACCTTTGATGATGTTAAACATCACAAAGAAAAAGCAACAACTGATATGAAATTTGTTTTCTTCTCCAACACCTCACAGGCACACTTGCAAGAGCGAAATGACCCTCCGCAGCTGCTGTTAGACTTCAAGCACATGTTCCCAGTTTTTTTCCCGTTCAACCCATCCTCCATAACCATGGACACCATTCATCTCCCTGCTTCTCTCAACTTGGAATTTCTCAATAAAGTCTGAAGAAAGTATAATTAAGCCCAGCTCTCCTACCCAGAGACCCCCAGCAAAAAGAAAGAAAAATGAAAGGAATTTAAGGAGCTCTTTAAATGTGGACCAAGCAGAATTAGGGAAGAACCAATACACAGTGATAAATAGATGCTAAACTGAACGGTAAAAAAGAGACTGATCTGTATGTGATTTGGGTTTTTTCTGGTAATTTGCAGATCAGAAATAAGGATATTTGAAATGTAGATTTATTTCTTACTGTTTGATTTTATGTTGACGTAGTTCAAAGCCCATAATCATCTGCAAAAGCCACTAACAAAAAAGAATGGTGAATGGGAGACAACTTACTTTGATCTTCATAGGCGTCTATGAAAAAATGACAGTTAAATCAAAAACAAAATCTGAGACACTTACGCTGCCTTGAAGGACATGTAATTGTCTAATAGCTAGGTGATTTTGCATGTATTAATAACAGGACATGCAGTTCTGCCTCTTGTTCTTACTAGTGACAGTATCACGATAGCGAGTTGAGAAAGCAAATTGCAGGAGATGCAAGTACATGTTTATCACACCAGTCAAGGTTAACGGTCTTGGATGCTGCTTGTTTCCACCGATGTGAAATCTGTCACAAATTCTGTGTTTCAGAAATGCTGTTGGTCCTCCAAACTACTTCCAGTGCATCTGCTTCATGGGAATTCAAATAAATGGGCAGCTTGGACTTTCTTCTGTTAGCAAATTTACATTAGTGACTTGTAAAGGTTTTGTCCTAGTGAAATAATCTTGAGACAAGGGACTGCCTTGGGCCTCACGCTTCTAGTATAGACAAGCATCATCCTGATCCCTGCTGTTGGCTTTCGCTGTGCTTTTAAAAGTTGAAAACTTTTGTGCAGTGGCTATCAAGGTTCTTAGATGTCTTACGTGGCCTGTATCAGAATTTATACGTAGGTGAGACATGCGTTTTATCATCGGGTCCCCAGTTTAATCATCGGGTCCCCAGTCCTACCTATGTGCAGTGGGCTAGTCCTGGCCATAGGAATCCATGGAAAAATTCTATTCAGTTCAATAGCCATCCAAAATCAATAGCCATCCGGTCATGCAAATACAAGGCTTACACAAATGAAGAATACTTTTAAAAAAAAAAAAAATTAAAACAAAAGGGAATGCATAAGTAATGAAATATTTCAACACAAAAAAATTGTAAGATAGTGTGTTAGTAATGTAAGCTGTTCACTCTCTTAAAGAGAGTGAACATGAACTCTTTGTCTACAACAACCTTAAATAACTGCAATCAATTCAAATTCTATTAGGATTTATTAGGATTTTTTTTACCTTACTTATAAATTAAACCAACCCAACCCTCTGACCTCACCAGGTAGATGCTGAAAGGGGCCAGCTACTCACAGAAGCAGTCACTGATTTTTCTCAGTACTTACCACAACACGTTGAATTCTCAGTTACTGCAGAGCCACTCTCCCTGCTGAGAAGGGGAAAAGGTGGGTTCCCATGGCCAAGTGATGCTGTACAACGATCCCGATGGTGATCGGTCTGCAAACTGCTCAGTGGTGATGCTTGGGCTGTGGCTCAGTGAGAATGTTTGGCAGTAGCAAAATCCCTGCTCCTCTTAGCACTGCGAGCATTTTGTCCTCTCCACTTCCATAACGGTCTCGGCTAAGTAGCCCAAAACTCTCCTTTTGTGGTTGTGGTTGCTTAAGTCTCAGCAATTCCACAATGATTAAGAGCTTTCAAAAAAATAAACCACAAACAAAATCCAAACCCTCTCTGCATCTGACTGCTTTTAGTTGGCGTAAATCACATCTAAACAGCAAATTTCTGATCAGGTACCTGGTCTGCTCAGAGGTTTAAAATAGAATGCGAAGTCTATTAAAGATACGCTAAATCCCGCCATGCTGCAGTCACCTTTTTAGACAAAGAGCATGTTTTGATTTAAACATCATGTATATAATCTATGTATGTACAAACAGTAATAGTCCTGTATGTACCATATATGTATATTACTATCCAAAAGCACATTTTTAAAGAAAAAGTTGAGTGCTGTGAAGAATTACATTGGTCTGTGCTGGTGGGCAAATACCTTGTTTCAAATGGACTGTGGTTTCGTATGGCTATTGCGAGCAAAGGACAGACCTAAGGCCATTCCCTAGGGAGAAGTTATCTTTTCTTCTAACCATCACCCAACTAATTACAGAAGAAAATTAATTGCTTGTATAGTACCAGCACTACCTCCAAGCTACAGTCCTTGAGCATTTGCATCTACTGTGTATATTCAGTAGTGCCTTCATCTCCCCTTCATATATACAGTAAGGATAATACCACTGTTTTGCTGTCTGTGCCCAGCAAGCTCACGCTCTTCTGTCACTTGCTCATCTACAATATTTTTATTTATTGTACCTACCTCTTTTCATGTTTTGCAAATGAATGTTTTTGCAGTGCTCTGAATTTAATTTTTTAACTGTCTCATCTCTTTTTTCCATACTATAGTAGTCATCACAGTTTAAAGATAAAAAAAATCAAAGCAGAATTGAGTCTTTCTCTAAGGCAGTTTTAACATAGAGCTATTTCTCACAATTCATCTTAGGCCAGCAGTTTCCTCTCAGGCTCTTCAGGTCTCTACCTCTCTCTGATGTAAATTATTCAGAGTATAATTCCCAACAGATTGATTAAACCAATGCTTATCGTTCGGACTAAATGCCAGGTTGCTGCAGAATCGTGTTCTGCAACGATTTTGTTGCTAATCACAATTATGAAATGTGGTTACTGGTCTTCTAGGGTATAATGGTCTTTCACTGGTATTTTCAGGATCATAATTGATATGTACAACAAAGAGACTTTCTTAAAAACTCTTGATATGTAAGACAGGAAGTGGGATTTAATGTCTTGATCTATGATAATGTGGTTTATTCATCAACATCTATCTGTAAGAGGACTCTGTATGAAGTACCTTTAATATATGTTATCTTTTCTGTTGGAGATTTTTTAGATCTGTTTTTAACTGTTAATTTTGTTAAATTGCTATGCTTAAGCATGCCTGCCTTTCCTCAGATTGCCACTTCTTTCTTTATAGAGCAAATTCAACACAAAGCATGGCTTTGAGAAAGCTGGCTGTTCTTCTGTTGTCTTTATTGTAAAATATTGATTATTAAGTTGAGGATTTTCCCACTGTGTGCCTTTAGCTGTTACTAAAGTAACTGACTTCTCAACTGCTGTTTCTCCGAAACAAGTGTTAAAATGTGGGGATATTTTTATTGTTCTGTCACAAAAAGTTGTCTGTGAATTTATAAGTCTCCTTAGAAAAATCTCACTCTGACAGGGTCTGTGAAATCACTTTGAAGTTGCTAGGAAAAAACCAATACTGATCCATGTTGATTTTTGCATGTATAATGTATCTTAGAAAAGCAGTATTGGGCTGTAAAAATAAACCAAAAACCAAAAATGACACAAACCACAAATCACACAAACCACCACCACTATGAAACCCACACTTCAAAGGCTAGTTCAGGCACATGCTGTCTGGCCTATGAGAAGCGTCCAGGACGATGTACATGTTTCATTTTCACCAAAAACTTGCTTTGATAGACTTTTTTTCTTCTTCTTTTTTTTTTTTTTAATTGGCATTTTGTAGCTGAGGTTGCTTATCTTTCAGCTAGTAAAGTTGTTGCAGCAGTTGACTGTAGAAAAGAATGTTAGAACTCAAGACTGATTTTATGCATCATAAACATTTTTTTGCTCATACAACTTATTTCACTGTATCTGAAAGGACTTCTTTGTATGAGTGAAAAGGTAACAAAATGTGGGCATGCTTCAGAATTTAAGCATGGTGACTACTTTTCCTGATACTGTAACTTAAACGCTGAAGTCACAACTCCACCTAAAGTCTTTGAAATATATGACCTCTCCATTTGTGTGATTTGAAAAAGATACGAGTGAAAAAGATGCATTTGAAACAAGAAGTCATTTTTCCTCTGTTTTCAATAGTAAATGAACAAAACTGCAAACTTATTCTTTCAGTCCATATTTAACTGAAAAATTAACATTTTTGCCATTACATATAAATATAACCTAATTAAAATGAATTGCATGAACTACCATGAACCTTTTTCCTCCAACTTTATTGATTCACATATATATTACAGTCATAAATTGATTTTTTTCCCCCTGAAAGAAGTCTAGCGATGTAGGTGTTAAGTAAAACAATCTGGAGGACCTGTTCCCCAATGAATATACCATTTATTTCAAACCATAAATGACAAAGACTTTCAAATTAAGTTGAAATTAGAAGAAAACAAATCAAAAAAATGTGCTACTACAGTGCAATGTCTATTTTGTTTGGGGATTTTTGAAGTGTGTGTGTGTGTGTGAAGTCTCATTACCTTAACAAGCAGAAGGTATAGCTGCTCTCATAGAAGTTGAATGATATACATGAGTGAATACTATAGATTAAATACTACTGCTTATATTTTTCCATTTTGAACAAATCTGTAAACTACACCTCTGTTTATAGCTAAATGCTTGTAACAGTCATTGTAATATTCAGCCGTGGATAAAAAAATTTGTGAAATAAACACTTTTGAAGAAATTGTGACTTTTGGCCAAAAATGGGTATGTTAAAAATACACCTTTCGATATTTACTTCTGTATGTTGGAAACATTTCTGTTTTGAAATGACAAGGTACTTTACAAACACAAAATCAACAATCTCAAAGCTCTTACTTAAGACTTTGAAAAGTTTAGAAGTTATAACTTAATTTCAGAGGTACTTAAATATTTTGAGATGATGAGAAACCAGTTGAGTGTGTAAGCTTATTGCCAATGAGTGGAGAAGAGGGGATGCAGTGCCAGCCCCTGTGCACGCGTTAAAGGTGACAGGGTAAGTCAAGGGCAGAGAGAAAAAATACAGTAAAACCCTCTGCTTTTTTTAAAGACAGTGTTGGATGTCACTGTACATTCACTTGTCTCTGAATTCATGAAATGATCGGAAAGATG